TTCTCGGAATAATTCCATGGGTTCAACACCGCTGTAAAGATCACATTCCCTTGCAAGATCAACGGCCGGAAACGGTTCTCCATTTGCTTTGCATAGCAGACACTGTAGTAGTTCTGAGTCTGTGGGTTGATATCTGGAACCAACAGGATGTACTTCTGCCATGTACTTACTTGATTGAAGAAATTTAGGATTCTATGAAAAAGAAGAGAGAGAGAGAGAGAGAGATCGGGGATTTGAATCAATGTTGTTATCCATGCATATAAAAGATTCGGACGTTACTTTTGTACTAGGAGTTCGATTAGGAGGTCAAATATTAATCGAGAAGTTTCCTTATGAAAGAGCCAAGTTAGAAAAAGGAAAAGATGTCAAATTTATCGGAAACACAATTTGGTAAGTATTCAATCAAAATCTATCGAAAAGTTATTTTTGAGGCAGCTGATTGGGTAATTTTGTGTCGAATTATAATCGCCCGTTTTTGACTTGTTTTCAAAGTTTTTATTTTCTTGATTTGTTAATCTAGCTATTTCCTAACAAATTGACGAACTCAATCCAATTATCAAAATATTTATCTCAACTCCTAAACTTTAATGTCAATAGTTTTTTCAATTCCTATTAGGTTCGTCCTTTCAATTACTTCGTTAAAATATGGACATGATTCATTTTCGAGATCCGATTTCTAACATTTTCTTAGCTATTCACCATGTATGGATATTCTCATCATAATTAGGCCTGGGCGCAGTTTGGTTTGTGTTGGTTTCGACTCCAAGCCAAAACAATACCAAATTAGTCGGTTTGGGTGAATTTCAACCCAAACCAACCCAATCTAACTCTTAAACCGAACTAAACCAAACCAAATCGGTTTGGTTTGGTTATTCGGTTTGGACTTTTAGTTCAAATTGATTTTGAAAAGAAAAAATGATTTCCCAAGTTTTTGTCCAATTTTGGCCCAATTAGATTACATGACTTAAAATAACTAAATAAATTTATATTACAAGAATTATTGACTAACAAAAAAAATTAGGTTACTAGAGACAAATCAATAAAAAACTTAAAAATTTTGTTGCCTCTTCATATATTATATACCCTAACTGCATGAGTAGAGAAGAAAGATTAAGTATAATATAATGAGCTTGCGAAAGAAAATTTTTAGTACTATTACTTATCGGCAATACCATAGATTGAAGGGAATCGTAATATAGTTATGAGATTAGAGCGTATTTTAATTTTTATTTTCCTTTAACAAAAAAAAAGGTAAACATGTAAGTAGATTGGGTTGATTCGGTTAACCAGCGATTTGAGACTTCAAACCACAACCGAACCAAAGCACACCATGGTTTTATTTAAACGAAAACCAAACCAAACCAATTACCTGTGTCAAACTGACCCAAACCGACCCAAGTCGGGTTTGATCGGTTTTTCGATTTTTTTGCTCAGGCCTAATCATAATTAGAGATTTAGATGAATGATGGAGTTGAATTCTCCTCCAACAATTACGTGAGCGAAACACTGATATTCGCCTGCAAATAGACCAAGCAAGCTAACTCGAGGGCATTCCATCTCAGCTTGTAAAAGAGGTTATTGAATCTCCTAGCCATGCAAGAATGCAACAGTTGTCGCCCCCCGAGGCATAGCCTAGTGGTGCAAAGGACAGGAGTAAAGTTATCTCACGTCTTGCTGGTAGCTGTAATGTGGGGGTTCGATTCCTGAAACATGAAATTTGACTCTTTGTAGACGCAGTGTACAGACAGTTATGTTCCTTGGCCTGTTGGGGCACATCCCGCGATTTACCTCACTCACAAAACTCTAGGGGCGGAGCGATGGGGGCCCTTAAGGTTGGGGTTCAACCTTTTTTTTTTTTTTTTTTTTTAAAGAATGCAACAGTTGTCAATGCTGCATTCTGTAGCAATTGTCATTTCAACGGTTACCTGAAATTTCAAATTTGAATTTTAGAATTTTTTTCCAAGAATTTTTGCATGATTATTTTCTATGAGAAGGTAGTATAAACGTCTTCAATTTTTCACACAACTTTTGCTCTCTTCACATATTCTCTAAAATTTTTCACTTAACTTTTATTAATTAGTTCATTTCTTGTACGAATATTGTATAGGAAATATTATTTCATGTACAATTTTAACTCCAATTACAGATTGGATTGTGCTATGGGAACATTGGGGGTGCCATATGGACACCCGTCACCCCCTATTAGAGAGGTGCCCGGGCTCCACTGACACCCCTCCAATAGGGGGGTGTCGGGTGTCCATTATAGACACCTTTATGGCACCCCCAATGTACAAGAAGATAATTCTTATAGATTTATGTAGTTGTTTTCAAGTCCTTTACAAGAAGAATAATCCTTACAGATTTTTGTGGTTGTTTTCAAGCCCGAATAAAGGAGATGAGTTTTTATGACCTTATAATTCTTTTATTAAATTCTTCTGGCAAAATAAAATATTTTTATGCTCACATTTCTTTACATATTATGTGGCAAAATTATAACAAATTCTTAAGACTTATTACACTTTTCAGGGGATGAAAATGCAATTTTTTAGTCTACAAATTATAAAATAAAAATGAGGCGAGGTGCGAGTCAGCTCAGCTCATCCCACCAAAAGATGAGTTGATGGAGCGAGATTTGGAAAATGAGCTAGCTAGTGTTCAGCTCACCCCCATTTGCGAGCACGAGCTAGCTCACTAGGTGGTTGATGCAAGTGCGATGGTGGGAGAGCCAAATTCCACCGTTATTCTTAACAATATATGATCCTTTGAATTTTACGTTATTTTTTTTTATCAAGTAATTATTTGTGAAATTGTTAACAACTTCAGTGGATAAGAAAATAACTTTAACGATTAATTTAATTTTTTTTTTCAACAACCTCAATGACATTTTGTGAAATTTATAGTGTTACGCACCTATCTGAAACACTCCGAAAAGTCTAACACCGCGTCGTACGAGGTGTGCGACACCCATTCGAAGTGGAGCCACCATCTGCTAACACTTCGGAAGTCTACCACTCCGAAGTGGAGCCACCATCTACTAACACAAAGTGAGACACAGACAATCTACTGAACTGGACGAGGCGCCCTCGCCCCTGAAGCCGAAGCGCATTCTAAGCCGAATTTCTCTGCTAGAGAATCTGCCGCCAATTTCAGAAAGATATCTATGTCAAGATCCTTTCTGCCCCAAGATTCAATTGATTTGACGTCTCCACGAGTCTAGTTGATGTGACGTATCGACTTTATATCAATTCAACTCGAAAGAAGTAATTACCCGTCCACTCTATAGACGCGGTCGATTGATGCCTATGAGCAGACGTCTTACACCGTCAGATGCGTACACGTGTCTAACATCCAACGATTCTCCTCATCTATAAATACTAAGGGTTTGACAAGAGACAAAGGTAATGAAACTCTTACAACATAGCTTTCCATAACAAGCAAATATATATTCTCCTTCCCTTTATTTAGCACAACCTTGGTATTATTCCGGCCACCTGAGGTTAACTTGACCGTCGGAGTATATGCGGCCGCCACCACCACCTCCGTTGGTTCTGGCTGTGTGCATCTGACCGTGCGTTGACTGTGCGCAGGGAGGGATACGTGAAGTAGCTATCGGTTGGTCACGTGGAGGGTCCAATTTGCGAGGTCAACACATAGTAATTCTTTATCGTAAAAAAAGTAGGTATACTTTTTTAAACTTAGCCAACATGATATAAGAATTATTATTCTTATGTTTATTTATCTTTTCTCTATATCGGAACGATAATGCTAAATATTCTATTTTTTGTCTGTCTTACAAAATCCTGGCCCTTTGTTTTTTCCCTAATTATTTGCTGTGGGATTTTGATTGATATAGTATCTCTCTCTCTCTCGCATAGAGGCAATGGGTTTTTGATGTTAAATGGCACGGGCTCCATGTATTAAAGATCAAGGGTCGAGGCATGCGCCACCTCGGCCCTAGATTGGAGCCCGGGACTGTAGCATTTCTCTTATTTTATGTAAGATTTTGGTACTTGAAGAGGAAATTGAGAAATTGTACTTTATTTTTTTATTAGGAAATTTCCTTGAAATAAGGCCAAGTGGTTCATCATTAATCATTAATATACAAGTGTTTTCAATTATCTGTTAAAATAAAGCGACCAAAAGGATAAATCGATGTGAATCGTCTTTCATTTACCGTGGATAGTTTCTAAAATCCTCCCCAAGACTAGACACCTCACATCTAAATAGATTAATGAACTGTAATTGGGAAAAATATCAGAAAAAATAAATTAATATTCTATGTCAAATATTGAAAGATTATAATATATATAACAGAACTCAACAAATATTTTATGTCAATTATAAAATATATTAGAATATTTAATATACATAATCAAGTTCTAAAATCTATAGAAACTTGAGATAACAAGGAAAGCTGTGACGTGAATTATCCATTCATGCACTCACAATCCCCTATAAATAAATGATTATCTAATGGAGTTACCCATTGCATATACTCTATACAACTCTCAAAGCATTCAAGTTACACTAACTCAAATTAAGTTCCCTTTACATTCTGTAGTATGGATAGCCAAAGCAGCCGGATGATCTGTGGCGCCAATGATCCCGCCGGTGGTCATGCAGGCGAATACACCCAGGCAAAGATTAAGCGCTCTGATTTCCCTTCAGATTTTGTCTTTGGTTCTGGAACATCTGCTTATCAGTTAATGTTCGCAAACAAAATGCTAAACATCATCATGCTCATGCACTTGGGGTGGATTCATTTAAACGTCATAAAGACATACAAGGGCGGACCCAGACGTTTAGTGTTGTAGGGTGAAAATTTTAAATATAATTTTTTGATAAATCAAATAATATTAATGAAAATAAGTTAATATGTATTTTGATACTTTAAAAACGTCGCATAATTACATCATTATCAATATTATTAAATAAATTTTGCTATTTGTATAGTTTTGTTTACCATTTCATTGACAAATGCCGAGCTAACAATGAGTAAATTAAATTGAATATAGAAAGTAAATAAATTGAAATAGAATTCAAATTTAATCCAGGAAATAAATGAAATTCAAATTTAAAGCAAATGTAATTCGAAAGTAATTCAAATTACATTTAATCCATAACGACCCTATCATTTTTTTATGTCATATTTCATGTAAAACTTCCAAATGAAACGATATAAATTATATTGAAAAATTTATCGTGCAAAAATAATAAACGCTACTGAAATAATTGAATTTTTTAAAAGAAAAAACGAGTTAGACGTCTTTTTTTGAGACTACGTTTGATTTATATTTAACTATTTTTTATACCCATTTGCACCATTTGATATGATAATTATGTAGTTTTCGAAACGAGCTTCTACATGATAGAGATGATTTTTGGATTCGGATAGCACGTGATCGTAAATGAATTTTTAAAGTTAGGATATTATCGAAATTCTCAAAAATACTAGATTCAAATAGCCTACTTTGACATGTCGTAATTTTTGTTATAGTTGACTACTTTGCATGCCATTAATAAGTAAAAAACTAGGCTATAAGCATTTCGAAATGGTATTAAGAATGCAGTATTTTGATTTCATTTGACATCCCGTAACGAGTGTATCAAAGTATATTTTAAAAAGATAAAAAAACAAAAAAAAAAAAAAGAAAAAGAAAAAAAGGGGCAAATTTTTGTGGGGTCATTTGACCCCACATGACCCCATGTGGGTCTGCCCCTGAAGACATATTAATATTTTTTTCAATTTGATATCGTTTAAAGCACGATATTTAGACCTCGTTTGAGCCCCGTTTTGGGGGGAAAATGTATTTTGAAATAATGTTTTACCTTCACTCGAAAAGAGAAAAGAAAAAATGCATGCTAATTTTGATTGGTTTCGTTTCTGTACCACATTACAGGTTGAAGGTGCTTGGGCCACAGGTGATAAAGGCTTGAGCAACTGGGATGTCTTCACACTTAGAACACATGGTATTTATACATACATCTATACCCACATAGATATGCTCATACACACATATATTACATGTACGTTTATTTGTGCCTGTTACATGTCAATTGCTGAGCATGTTTATTGGAGTGGCAGGTAAAATCAATAATGGAAGTAAGGGATGTGTTGCTATTGATGAATATAATCTGTGGAAGGTAATTCATTAGTTTTATTGTTATAGCACAAATTTGTGCAAAATTTGTAGACAACTGAGATATAATAATACGTAGTGTCTTAGTGGAACAATTTCTACTCATTTTTCATTATGTTGCAGGAGGATGTAGCTTTGTTAAAGAAAGTCGGATTTGATTCTTATAGATTTTCAATTGCATGGACTAAAATACTACCAGGTATATAAATATATATGAGAACATGAAGAGTAGGAATTAATTTGTGCATTATTTTGTCAAAAACAAAAATCTGATGAAGTTTTATTTAATTTTGTTTTTCTTATTGGTATTTTAGGAGGAAGATTATCCACTGGCATAAATAGAGAAGGAATTAAGTACTATAATGATCTTATAGACTTGCTCCTGGTTGAAGGTTAATTAGACTCCAATGCAATAATTTCTTTATTTTCTTTTTAATAAAATTGTTGTTTGTTTCTTTTTAAAAAAGATAAAAATTATGAATTTTGGATTCTTAAATTTACTTTTGTGTAGGCATTGAGCCTTGTGTAACTATCTTTCACTGGGATATTCCACAATGTTTGGAAGACGAGTATGGTGGATTTCTAAGTCCTCGAATAGTGTAAGTAATTGAATCTTGCATAACAAAGCACATTTTCTTTGAGTATTTGCAAAAGCATATTTTAATAAAAACAATTCAAAGGAAGTGAAGTCAAGCTCCTGCACAAAAAAACTATTTAAAAAAAAACACGGTAAACCATATAGATATATGTTATTTTTTGATGAACAGGAAAGATTACTGTGAGTTTGCGGAGCTTTGCTTTTGGGAATTTGGTGATCGGGTGAAACATTGGGTCACATTGAATGAGCCATGGTCCTATACTGTTCAAGGATATGTAAGCGGCACTTTTCCACGTGCTCGGGGTGGAACTTCAGTGGAGCCTGTAACAGCTATCTCTCGTCATAGATATGGGCAAGGAGCTCTATCTATTCCTGTCGATGGAAATCCAGGCACAGAACCATATATTGTGGCACATCATATGATCCTTTCTCACGCAGCTGCAGTTGATATTTACAGACACAGATATCAGGTAACATTTGCGACACATAGATTAACATCATGCAAGAAACTTTATATGCAATTCTGAGTTTTCGTAATGTATATTTTATGCAAAAACTTAAGTGCAGGCACACCAAGGAGGCAAGATAGGAATAACAAATCTCTCAGAGTGGTTTGAGCCACTTACTGACACCACAGCAGATATTGAGGCTGCTTCAAGGGCCCTCAATTTTATGTTGGGATGGTAAGTAGCTATACCTAGTTTGTTCACATTTTAATGAAGTCATGGGCTTGGCCTATTTTCTAGCTTATTTTATTGTTTGGGATATAAATAATTTATTTGTGTTTGCACTTTAATTATCTAGGGTAATCAGGTCTTTATTAGGTTAGGTTTTTCTTTCCTAGATTTCCTGTTTAAGCTCAAATTATTGTTTTTCATGTTGCTGTTTTTGAATACTGGGTAAAAGTCATGGAGTTTTTTTCCAAGTTGATCAATCCCTTTAGATATTCTACAAGAATCAACGATATTGATTTTTTCTCTTTGTTCTGAAGAACAACTTTTACATGTTTATACTTTCTGCTTTCACTGTATGATTTCTTCAGAGGAAATTTATAGCCAAATTTATAGTTTGGATTTAAATACATTCTTCTCGAGTAATTTGCTTTTGGCAATAACGTATTATATAAGCAATATCTCATTTTTGAGAAATGTAATTAATTGTGTAGAATTTTAGCCGTGTCATAAAATAACTTAATCAAAATTTTGTGGTCTTTCAGGTTTGTCGCACCTATAGTAACAGGTGATTATCCACCAGTTATGACGGAAAATGTAGGCATACGGCTTCCCTCATTTAAGCCAGATCAAGTTGAGTTGGTGAAAGGATCCTATGACTTTCTAGGCATAAATTATTACACGGCTAGTTATGCTAGCGTTGCACCTCGGACACCTGGTGCTAATGTAAGTTACACAACCGATCAGGAAGTCAAAGTATCAGGTAACTATACAGAACATCTTCATGTATAGTTATAAATTAATCTTACCACATAGTACTCACTGCCTCAGTGGTTCGTAGGTGATCGTAATGGGATGCCTATTGGTCCACAGGTATACCTTTTAACTTTGGCTTTACATTAGAAGGGAAAGAAAAACATACTAAATAATTTTAATGATTTCACTATAATATATTTTCATATGAGATGGAGCAATTTAAGCAATTTATGGTGGTGGATTACTTTGTCATAGTTGTCAAAACGGATTAAATTACTATAGTTTTACTTCTAATGCTTATAGAATATTATCATTTTTGTTAATGTCAGGCTGGTTCGATATGGCTGCACATTGTTCCAGTTGGGATTTACAGGCTGTTGATTCATATAAAGAAAACATATAATAATCCTACCATTTATATTACTGAGAATGGTAAATATGGCGTTTTTTATTAGTCTTTTTTGATAGTAAGATAAGAGTCTTTTTTATCCAATTTATTGGATGTCTTAACTTGTGTAGGAGTGGATGAAGTAAACAATACAGCCCTAACAGTTTCAGAAGCTCGTTTTGATGATACGAGGATTAAATATCACCAAGACCATCTCTTTTATGTTAAGCAAGCAATGGAGTAAGTCATCATTCATATAATTATGATCTTATAGCAATTTGTAACTTACGAAATAATTTGACTATCTTGTAAAAAAAAAAAAAAAAAAAAAAAATTCTATGTTCATGATTCTTCTTTTCCAGCGAAGGCGTAGATGTGAAGGCTTACTATATATGGGCAATGTTCGACAATTTTGAATGGATCTCAGGGTACAGTGTTAGATTTGACATTTTTTATGTAGATTTTGTGAATGGAAGGTTCACAAGAATCCCGAAAACCTCTGCGATATGGTTTATGAATTTCTTAGACAAGAAGCCTAATTTGTTGAAGATTCAAGCAGAAGAAAATGAAGGAGAACATACTTCTGTGAAAAGGCTACGAAGCTGCTAAATTTGTCTTCTCGATCGTATTTCATTTGACTTGCTATGTTCAATAATTCATGCATGCAAGTGTTTTCATTCAATTTCGGCTTAGAAAGCCAAGTTGTAACTTTCTAAGCATTATATTCAATAAATGATATTCTCGTGTTAATTGTTCTGTCAAATGAAGATTTCTGCATGTATCGCTCCATAGGAACTACTGAAAGCTTTTCTTAGGAATACCAATTAATTCTGAACTTTAACTAAATCCTCAACTTCATTTACTAATGTGCAAAATTGTAGAATTTAACTTTAAGTTTTTTTTTAATTAAAATTCCCAAAAATATAATTACGATCCTTTTAGCAGTTATTAAGAGTAATGTGAGTTGGTAAGACAATTGTGTCAATTTGTTATAAACTCAAAAATAGAATTCGCGAAGCATATCTTCCCTTTAGTAAATAGAATTCGAGAAGCATATATTCATATAAACTTAAATCGTACTCAACATATAATCTTGATTATTTAGCTGAATCTAATTATTAAGTGCAACCATTAATTAATCTGATAAAAGCATAAGGTTGAATTCAATTCTTTAAAAATAAAAAAAATAAAAAAAATAAAATAGGACATGTTCTTGGTGATTAAGCTGTACACACTGATGAATACCACCTTGAGCAACGTATTTGTTGAATGAATCATCAGCCATTTGTGAGATTTTAATTTTAAAAGTAGGAATATCAATTAAATGTAGTCCTGAGATTTTCATATTCAGAGTACTTTTACTTGCTTGAAAGATAAAATTCTTACCAGCCAACACGAAGCCCCATTTACAAATTTTGTAATAATTGCTTGATTGCAATGAGATTGCAAGCCGCCTTCAAGCATTAGTTCACTAACTAGATATTATCCCCTTTCCGATAAAAGAGAGAATGTAAAAAGTACTGTTCACCTTGAGGCAAAGGATTCACACAGAACTGATTTAGTACTGTAGATAAATCAGTTTCAGCTTTCATTGTTGAAAATTTTGTTGTTGTCTGGCATGTGTACAATTTTATTGGATTTATTAGTTTTATGTAAGTGGGTTACTGTAGCTTATAAAAGGGTATTTTGTGGCGGCATAAAATGTCATTCACATTATTAATGAGAGTATTTAATGATTTCGTGGAAGATGAATGCTTTTGTGGAAGAATGGCTGAGAAAAACATTTATTAGCCTTCATTGTTGACTTTTATATTCTTTGTGCTAGAAGAAAATATTTATTCAGCCTTCATTGTTGAAAATTTTGTTGTTGTCTGACATGTGTACTATTTTATTGGATGTATTTGGTTTTTGAAAGTCGGTTACTATAAAGACAAAAAATGGTTTCTTGTGGAGGCTAAAAATGTTATTTACATTGTTGAATTTAATCAGCCTTCATTGTTGACTTTATAAGGTGTTATTTGTCTGTCTAAGCAAAAATATCAGTATGATTTTATCACATAAACTATCCATAAATTGAAAGAAAACTTTCAAAATGACAAACTGATTTCATTACAGAGAACTGAGTTTCGTGATATTTTTCTCTCAAACGAAAGGAAGACATTGTTTTTTTTTTTTTTTTTTTGACAAAACCCGTAAATTATTTGTAAAATAAATACTCTTTCTGTGGACAATCCTTCAAATTGGAAAAAGAAGTGAAAAAACTTCTGTATCGACGGAGGAAAGGGACTTCAAGCGGGAGATTGAGGAGTTGAAGGCTAAGGTGAAGTTTCTGGAACTTGTTTTTCCATTTTGGTCTTCCCTTCAAATTTGTCCATTATTGAGTTTTATAAAAATAATCTTTAACCTTTTGTTGCTAAATCTATTTGTTGAGTTTGTTTTTATTTTTGAAAATTAGTATTTACTTCTTACTTCTTTTAACATTTGATAAATTGTAATGGTTACTCATAGATCAGTTATATTTGTTTCATGATTTTGAAAAGCAGGGAAGTGATGAATTTTTGCTAAATTTGTGAGTGATGTTTTATGGATTAAAGACTTGTTCAAATTATTATTCAAGATTTATTATTTTCTTTTTGTGGTGCATTAATAAATAGTTTTTTGTAATAATGATTTGATGGAATTATAAAATAGCTCAAAATGAACGAAAGGAAAAGAAATAACATATAATGAAGAATGATATGGTTAACTATTTTTTTAGACATTGAAATTTACAACGACAAATTGAATAACATTATCAAATGTTTTTACTTTATAGACATATTATCTATTATAGAAGTGAATGGATAAAAATTAGAAAAAGTAGAGAAAGAAAAAAGCATTAAATGCAGTTTGTCAAAATGAAAATATTGGCTTGGGAAATGAGTATTGTGTTAATCATGTATCTATACTATTGTGGATTAACGAAGAAATTTGTGCGTATGATTTTTGATATAATATAGGAATAATGACAATTTTGAAAAGTTATTATATTTAAACTATATATTTTTGCAAGGTGAACCATCTGAAATTTCAAATTTTTTATTTGTTTAGTTTTTTTCTGTCTTTCGTTTTAACTATAACTGCAACTAAACTATTTAATAGTCTAGCATGAGTTCAACCATCTAAAAAAGTTAAAATTTAGTTTATTTTTAACTTATTTTTTTCCTTGTTCATTTGTATAGTTAAATACTTTTTTTTTACCATTAATTGTTGTTTACTGTCCTCTTTGTCGATACTTAAAGCATATTTATGTTTCTCATTAATAATTAAATTTTATATTATTGATGTTTATATAATTTTTACATTATTAAGAAGTTAAATGAATTTAATATATCTTTAACAGTTTGTTGTAACTAATTTTTGACTTGTATATATTTTGGTTTTTTTGTATGAATGGTTTAACACATTTGCTAATAATATTTATGGATTATTTTAGATTGTATTGCATTGGAGTTGAAATATTTAGTAGTTCTTTATGCTATCGTGATGGATATTTTGGAAATGTCTATTCATGAAGATCATGTTATTGTTAACTTTGATGCTGCGTCTGAAAGTGGGAATGAGTTACACAGAGCCTTCAATCGCCAACAACGAGTTCAAAGAGGGAGAGAAAGGCGAATAAGATTTAGAAATAATTATAGTGATTATCATAAAAGAAGAAATGATCCTATGTTATCGAAAAATAATTATTTTGTTGTTACTCAGCTACATGAATCCATAATGCATCAAAATTCTAATGCTTCAACTTCAAATAAAAAATCACATAATATTTTTTATTCTGAATTTGAAATATCTTTCAAAGGATTGAACATTCCATCTACTGCACATGTATTGCCAACATCCAATTATTGTAAATATTGTAATGCACGTAAATTTTATAGAGAAAGTAAAATGCTTTGTTGTTCAGATGGAAAAGTTAAACTTTTTATATGTGATTCACCAGTTCAACTGTATAATTTATTTACTTCTAAAGAACTACATTATATGGAATTCAAAAAAATTGTAAGGGGATATAATAATCATTTTGCTTTCACTTCATTTGGTGTAAAATACGATAAAGAACTTTTTAAAATGTATAAAGGTATTTACACATTCAAATTTGAAGGACAAGTGCATCATTATATAAATGAACTTATGCCGAAAAATAATACATCTTCTTATATGCAATTATATTTTTACGATATAGAAAACGAAGTTGAAAATCGTATGAAAATTTCATCAAATTTTGTTGAATCTACTTTAGTTTATTTAATCGAAATTTTAAAAACAAATCCGTACAGTAAATTCTTTAGATCTTTAAGTAATATGATTAACTTGCATAATCATCAAATACAAATACGATATGATCCAGGACTTGATCAAAGAGTTTTCAATACTCCTACAGCATCTCAAGTAGCTGCTATATGGGTAGAAGATGATGCAAATGCTAATGTCCGTGCTCGTGATATCACTATATATGGTCATTCTGATGATTCACACAAAGTTCATTACTATTATGGGTGTTATGATCCATTTCAGTATTCGTTACTTTTTCCATATGGGGAATCTGGTTGGCATGAAGGCATTGAGAGATGTAGAAATATGAATTTTCAGCCTGATCGTATGTCAACATTGGATGTTTTTTCTAACACAACTACTTCTGCAGCTGAAATTATCGAAAAAGAGAATGAAGGTTTGTAAATATATCCTTTGCTAGAATTTTTTATGTTTTATGTTATCTTACGTTATCAAGAAATATTGAATTTAGTTTCCCTTTGGGTTTTGTAGTGCTCAATGAAGAGAAAAAACGTACTAAGGTATCTTGTCTAGAATATTATTCATATAAATTACAGATTAGGTCTTCTGGTAAGTCTGTGTTACTTCACGCCAGTAGATTATTTCAACTATATGTTGTAGATATGTAAGTTAAAATAGAAACTACTAGATTAAATTATTTTCGTAATAACCAAAAACAAATTCGTGCTGAACTTTACCAAGATATTGTAGATAGTGTTCAAAATGGGGAAACAAGAGGATGCGAAGTTGGAAGAAAAATTGTTTTACCACAATCATTTACATGTGAGCCTCGTGATATGCTAAGAAGCTATAAGGATGAAATGGCTCTTGTGCAACGTTATGGAAAATCGGATATGTTTTTAACTATAACACGTAATCCGAATTGGCTAGAGATTAAGTAAGAACTAAAAAAAATGATGAAGTTCAAAATCGACCAGATTTAATTGTACGTATATTTAGAGCAAAATTAGAAGAATTGAAACATGATTTATACAAAGCAAATATTTTAGGCCATGTTATTGCATTTATATACATGATTGAATTTCAAAAAAGAGGCATTCCTCATGCACATATGTTGTTAATATTTAACTCTGAAAATAAAATTACTTGTGTTGAAGAAGTTGATAGGATAGTGTCATGTGAAATTCCTAATAAAAACAAATACCCTCATCTTTATTCTATTATTGTTAGACATAATATGCATAGTCCTTGTGAAAATTTAAATCTGAAAAATGTATGCATGGAGCAAATAAAAGTTGTAAATATAAATACCCTAGAGATTTTTGTAATATTAC